CCCCAAAACCCCAAAACCCCAAAACCCCAAAACCCCAGAAGGAAAGTATGTTGAACATTTATGAAAATAAAATGATAACATAGTTAAATAAATTGAATTATTATAATGGAAAGTCACAAGTATTTGCACGATTCACCCAGTGGGTAAAATAATCTTGCTGATTATGAACCACCTGAAGGCTTTCAAAAGGCTGTGGAGGTTAAAGAGAAATTTGATGACGTTTTAGACAACCTCAATCTGATAGTGAATGGAGTGATCTCAAGAGATAATATGATGCTAAAGTATAAATTCAACCCAAAACTGGATAACGCAAAACGTAAAGTCATACAACTTGAAAATAAGATAAAGGATATGAAGAATGCTTATACTTCTCACTAAGAGCTTACCACTATTATTAATGAACTCCGAGACTATGAGAAGGTAGCAAACACTTTAAGAAATAAATTGGACTTCCTTGAAAGCTAGCTAAATCGTGAAAAAGCATTGTGTGAAAGACTGTAAAAACATAATGAAGGTAGAAGAGATGAGTTAAACGTACTTAACAAAGATAACCTGAAAATTTCTTATGAAATTGAAGAGATAATGGATTAAATTAAGGAACTCAAGAATCCTTAGAGCTTTTTCTTGACTAATAATGAGTCCAAGTATTTGAATGGAAATAACTAAAAGAATGGATAAGACTTGTCAGTTGCTGAGAAATCACTGATATCTAACATTAAAAGAGGTCTAAACATCCCAGACAAAAGAAATGATCAAAATGTGTCACAAATTGGAGCTAATGCATAATCTGCTTATACCATTTCTAATCTTAAGCACCCGCAAGTAGATATGACTAAACTTTCTGCTGATTAATAAGATGAGGTTAGCTATTATATTTCACAGATTGCTAGACTAGATAAAGAGCATAGATATCTCAAGACTACTTCCATTAAGACTGTTTCAAAATAATTTGATAAGCAGCGAAGAGCAGTTGAATTGGAGGAATTCTTCAGAGAATGCATCAGAGCCTGTGAGAAAGACATTCTGAAATCACATGAGATCTCTTAGCTTAACAAGGACGACAAAGCTAGTTCAAGCTTTTTCTTTGAATTGAAAAGAAAGAAGTTCCAAAGTGACAGCAATAAGCTCATTAATGGTCCATAATAATTAAGTGATATAAAAGATAGCTATCCAATGACTGTGCTTGATAGGCATACTAAAAATGTAATTTACAAGACTATTAAGCAAATTATCAATACTGCAAAGGAAGAAAAGAAGAAAGCGCATATTATGAGCGTGAAACTAGACTGGGAAGAGTTTAGATAATATACTCCCATGCAAATCATTAGTTTACTCCTGATTAGAGATGATGCTCTGTCTAAGATGCAAGATTTGCTCTTTCCCTCTGTAGCTAAAAGTAAGGGAAGGCTACTGACACAAGGAAATATGCTACTTTCTTCCTCTTCATAGAAATAACTTAAAAAGGGGTTGTGAGCATAGATTTATTTATGAAGAAGTTGAATAAGTAAATAACTTAACTTAATTTAACTAATCATATAAATTTAATAAATACGAAGAAGCCTAAAATGATAACGAAACCAATATAGGTCTTTACAACGTGAGCCCAACTGATATAATCTTAAATTCAAAATTTTACCTGACATATTAGCTTTGAGTTACAGTCAGCCACCAGACTCCAATCATTGTATAGTTATTTCTACCCTGATAGTTGCATTTATTAAGTGCTCTAGCTACATGCGAATGACAGTTGTTACTAAAGACAAAATTTAGGTGAATTCATAAGATTAGCAAATCTTACCAGAAAAGGTTGTGCATCATTTATTCATAAATCTGATCTGCTTTTTCTATTCCTCTGTTGTATCCTGTCTCATCATTGATGTCTAGTCTTACATATCTAAACAGGATAATCTCGCTAATTATTACTTATGAGTCTCACCGAAAGCAAGGTCATCAACTGTGATAGTGTAAGGGCCAGCAAAGTCATGTATAACCCCATCACTCATAGCTATTCCAGTGTGTCCGATGAAAGGTAGTAGCCATGAGATGAGTGGTAATGGTGTCCAAACAATGCAATATGGAAATCTAGCTCTTTCAGCATCGATTTTAGCCTCCTTTGATTTGCTAATGCCAAGTGACTTTTTAGAGTATGCTGCATCTTTATAGTCTGCATCAGATTTAGAAGTGTCCAAGTTATTGATCACCTGATATGATGTTGATTCTGCTATAAAAATAAGATTATAAGGATTGCAAAGATTTTACTATCACTCATTTTTAGATTTAAACAATTGATTAATTATTTTAATATTATCAATGTTCCTTATTGTAAAATGATTATCTCTGAATTAGACTCTTATCTTTATTTAATAGTTTTATCTCCTATCTATACCATCACCTCTCATTATTCTATTCCTCAAATTACTCACACTCCAAGCAATGAGATTACCGTGTTTGGTGATGGGAGATGCTGATTAAGCATTGAATATCTTTGATATATAAAGTTGTGTTTTTCTATTCGTAAAATGATATGATTAAATTAGAAGAAGGAATGGAGGGATAAATGAACGTGAAATGTTTCTTTTTAAAATTTTTATAAAACAAATAAATCGCACATAGATAAGTTATCATTTAGAGGTGACTTTTTATATTCATCTTCTCTTTGGAGCAGCAGCTTTCTTTGCTGGTCTCTTGGCAGCCTTCTTGGTTGATCTCTTGGCGGCAGCTTTTTGTGGGGTAGCTTGGGCTGAACCAGCAGCAGCTGGGGCGGTAGCGGGGGCGGCCTTCTTGGCAACTCTCTTGACGCCGGCTTTCTTGGCGACTCTCTTTCCGATTTTCTTTGATCCAGTTGATCTTTTAGCAACTCTCTTGGTGACTTTCTTGGTAACTCCAGCTTTGGCTATAAAAATGTGAGGTTAGATTATCTGAAGTCGAAGTGATAAGGTGCATGAGTTAACTCATGAACTTAATTGTCACTCCCCAATTCAACTCAGCAATTGCTCACTAGCTAAGACTCTTTAATAGTCATCTGAATACTTTAAATATTCGGCTTTATGTGAGCGACCATTGAGGGTTGAAATTAGAGGTGAGTAATTCAGAGTGGTCAATTTTACTTACCCATTGTGATTAGTGAGATATAGATGATTTTCTAATAATTGTAATAGTTCTGCTTTTATATTGTTAAAATTTAAAGTTTAATAAAATAAGTGGCTGTTAATTAAATATCTTGATAAAATTGAGATTTTCGAAAAAATTCTCACACCTAATTGACTCGATGTGTCTTTGACAATAGTGAAAGAGATGACAGTAACCTACTATATTGGTCCTTCCATACTTGTATATAAGGAAGTTGGCTGCCTCCAAGACATCTTTCCAGACATCAGCATGAAGACAATCATCCTCAACGATCACATCTTGAGCCCCCATGATGGGATTACCCACACATGAGATATCGGATAATGCCTGAAGACCATCCCCTTGATCAACTCTTGGGCTAGGAATCAAGTTCAATCGAAAGGACTAACCAAGAGGCATTAATAATCGAAGAAAAATGCCATGTTATTGAGTCTTATAATATGAGAATAAAATTATAGAACCACTAATATGCTTTTAAATTCCTTATTTTCAAACTGAAATAAAGTATAACTTTGAAAACTCCTTTTATAGCCTAAGGGGTTTTGGGGTTTTGGGGAGATCGGAAGAGCGTCGTGTAGGGA